GGGAGGGCGCCAGATGGGGCCAGGGGGGCACCCAGAGACAACACGGCAACACCGGGACTCAGACCATCACAGATGCCACAGCCAGGAGCCCTCAAGTTCTGTGCTGGGGGGGCCTGAAACAGGGCTGAGGGGCTCCCAAAATGGGGCTCAGGGGGCACCAAATGGGGCTGCGGGGTCCAAAAGGGGCTGGAGGAGCTCCAAATGGGGCTGGCAGGCACCCAGAGATGCCACAACCAGCACTGAGCCCATGAGACCACCCAGAGCCACCACAGCCCAGAGCCTTCGAGTTTTGAGCTGAGGGACTCCCAATATGGGGCTGTGGGGCTCCAAATGGGGCTGGGGGGCCTTTAAATGGGGTTGGGGGGGCTCCAAATGGGGCTGGGGGACACCCAGAGACAGCACAGCCCAGAGCCCTTGAGTTCTGAGCTGAGGGGGCCTGAAACGGGGCTGGGGAGGTCCCAAAATGGGGCTGAGGGGCTCCAAATGGGGATGGGGGGACACCCAGAACTACCATAGCCAATATGGGGACCACGAGACCACCCAGAGTCACCACAGACCACTCTGGGTCACGAGACCCCAGAGCCTTCATCTTTGGACTGGGGGACCCCCAAAGCCACCACAGCCTGGCACCTCGGGGTTCTGAGCTGGGGGGGTCCCAAACAGGGCTGGGGGGGCATCCAGAACCACCACGGACCACACCAGGACCAGGAGACCACCCAGAGCCACCACCAGTCTGGTACCTTTGGATTCTGAGCTGGGGGGCCCCAAAAGTGAGACTGGAAGACTCCCGGAGCCACCGCAGCCCACGCCAGGACCGTGAGACCACCTAGAGCCACCCCAGCCTGGCACCTTCAGCTTCTGAGCCGTGGGATCCCAAAACCGGGGCTGGGAGACCCCCAGAGCCACCGCGGCCTGGCACAGGATCACCGGGGGACACAGAGGAGCTGCAGGGAGCCTGGCCTGGGCTGTGGGACATCGTGGGGACCGGGGGATGTTGAGGGGACATCCCCGGCACAGGGGACATGGTGTCACTGCAGTAAACACGTCCCACCCTCTGGTGTCCGTGTGTCCTGCGGCCTTGGGGGCACTGCCTTGTACCCCCTGCTCAGCCCGGGCCCTCTGAGTGCCCCCATCCCTGGGGACAACGGGCGGGGGGTGGCACAGGGGGTGGTGACACGGAGCCCAATTCCCTCCCAGTTCCCGTTGGGAATAAGAGCCGGGACAGCGGAGCCAGCACTGGGTTTACTGGGGAGCGGGGACAGGCAGGAGGGGGGGACACACCCGGGACCCTCCTCGGTCACGCGGTGCTGGGGGGTGACAAGCAGGGGGGGCCGGGACCCCCATGGCAGAGTCTGTCGGTGCCGCGGTGCCTGCAGAGGGGACACGGGGAGGGGGGGCTGTGACGGGACCCCCATGTCCCTGTGTCCCCATTCCAGGAGGTTCTCTCGGCCGTGTCCCCATCCTGTGAGGTTCTCCATCTGCGTCCCCATGTCCCCACCTCGGGGGATTTCTCCAGGGGTGTCCCCTGTCCCCGTCCCAGGGAGTTCTCCCGCCCATGTCCCTGTCCCAGGGGGTGTCCCGATGTCCCCATGCCGGGGGGGTTCTCAGATGTGTTCCCATCCCGGGTGTTCTCCCAGCCATGTTCCTGTCCCGTGGTTGTCCCCGTGTCCCCATCCCGGGGTGTTCTCCAGGTGTATTCCCATGTCGCCATCCCAGCGGGTTCTCGGGTATGTCCCTGTGCCAGGGTGTCCCTGGGGGTGTCCCTGGGGGGGTGTCCCCATACCCACCTACGCCGGCAGCCCCCGGGAGAAGGCGAACATTCCGGGCAGGTACAGCGCGTCCCCTCCCTTCCCGGCCTCTTCCACCGCCCGGCACTCGGCCTCATCCCGCTGCCGGATCTCCTGCGGGCACAGCACGGGCTGGCACCGGGCGGGGGCACGGGGGGGGGGGGCACGGGGGGACACGGGGGGGACAGGGGGCACCTCACCTTGGCCGCCAGGTGATGGGCAGGGCCGCAGTTGTGGTACTTGTCCAGCACCTTGGGGTTGTCGCCGGTGTCGAACTTGTAGCAGGCCAGGCAGGTGGGCTTGCGCTGGGGACACGGCGGGATGTCACCCTCCCCGGGGGGATGTCACCCTCCCCGGCGGGATGTCACCCTCCCCTGGGGCATCCCAGCCCCTGGCACCCACCGCTGTCCCCTCCATCCCGCCTTGGCACCCGCGGCAGCGCGGTGGGGGGAACAGGGGGTCCGGGGGATGTCCAGGGGCCGTGTCACACCCAGGATGGGGCCCAAGGGAAGGGACACCCTGGGACGTGCCCTAAGGGAGGGGGGACGCTCTGGCACGTGGCTCAGGGAATGGGGACACCCCAGGATGTGTCCCAGGGGCCGGGGAATGTTGCCCAAGGGAGGGGGACACCTCGGAACGTGTCCTAAGGGAGGTGAGGGGACACCAGGGATGTGACCCGGGGGAGATGGGGACGGTCACGGGACATGGCCCAAGGGAGGGGGGGACACCCCAGGGTGTGGGACGTGCACCGAGGAAGGGGAATGCCCTGGGCTGTGGCTCAGGGAAGGGGGGACGCCCCAGGCCCCTCACCCGGTTCTCCACCACGCGGCACTGGCGCTGCGGGCCCCGCTTGCGGCACGACGTCTGCGCCAGGCCCAGCCGCAGCTGCACGAACGTCCCCGAGGGATCCTCCTGCGGGAACGCGGCTGGCAGGGCACGGCAGGGACCCCAAACCCCACGGCCTCCCAGGGAAACACGGCCCCCGCAGGAATCCCAAACCCTGGGAGCAACCCAAAGCCCCCCGGAGGGACCCCGAATCCCAGGAGGGACCCTGAGCCCCACAGATCCCAACCCCTGGGAGGGACCCCAAACTCCAAAGGGACCCCGAATCCTGCAGACTCCCAGGAAAATCCACCCCCAGGTGGCTCCAAGGTGGGTGAGTGGCCCAAAGGGGGGGTGCCCCGAGCTCCCGGCTCTTCCTGGACGTCAGTGGTGCTCCAGGGGCAGCGGGATGGACCCGGATCCATTAATGAGTAACTGAGCTCAGCCAGGCCCAGCCAGCGGGGCCGATCCCGGGCACCCCAGGACACCCTGGCACCCACCACCCACCTGTTCCCTCTGGGACACCCCACCCCGCTCCCCTGACCCCCTCGTCATTCCCATGGCCATCCTGGATCCCAGTCCTGAACCCTGAATCCCAAAATCCTGGTGCTCATCCCCATCCACCTCCCACTCCCTTGGGGACACTCCAACCCCTTCCCCATTCCCTCTGGGACACCCCAACACCCTCCCCATTCCCACGGCCACCCTGGATCCTTAACCCCGAATCCCAATCCCGAATCCCATCGCTCACCCCCTCAGTGATCCTCTGCACCACCTGCTGCCTCCGGGATGCCCCAGGACACAACAACACCCTCCCTGTTCCTGTGGCCATCCCAAACCCTGGATCCCAGATCCTGAATCCTGTTACTCACCTGCTCGATGATCCTCTCCACCGACTGCTCTGTCCGGGACGCCCCAAATACCTCCCCATTCCCTCTGGGACACCCCAACCCTCTCCCCGTTCCTTCCAGGACATCCCAACTGCCTCCCCAACCCTCTCCCTGTTCCTGTGGCCACCCTGAGCCCCAGATCCCAATCCCAACCCCTGCTCCCCCGTTCCATGACCCCCCCCAGCCGCCTGCTCCCTCCTGGACACTCCGTCCCCCTCCCCACTCCCTCCGGGACACTCGAACCCCCTCCCCGGCCCCCTCCCCGTTCCCGTGGCCGTCCCAGAGGCGCTCCCGGTCCCGCTGCGATCCCGCTGCGATCCCGTCGCTCACCCTCTCGATGAGCCCGTCCAGCTCCCTCTCCCTGAAGAGGAAATGCACGTTGCTGCGCCCGTGGAAATATTCCAGCACGTCCCGGACCACGCGCCGCTGGAGCGGGGACTGCCCCGCGGCCACCGCGGCCACCGCCAGGGCCAGCGGCAGCCACAGGGACACCGGGAGCCTCATCCCGCCGGGAATGGCCTCACCGAGCCGCCGGCCGCTGGCGTCGGGCTGGCATGAGCCGATTTCCTGGGATCTGCCCCCAAATCCGCCCCCGGGACGGCCCCGCGAGTGACCGGGAGGAGGGGCTGGGATGGGATGGGGGGAGAGACCCCGGGATTGGCGGCGGGGCCCGCGGGAATGACGGCCCGCCCTCGGGAATGGGCTCCTGCCCACGGGAATGGCTCCCGCTCCCCGGGAACGAACTCCTGCACCCCCGGGAATGGGCTTCGGCGCCCCGGGAACAAACTCCAGCTCCCGGGAATGGCGTCATGGCCTGCCGGGAGTGACATCCCGGGAACCAACTCCAGCCCTCTGGAATGGCTTCATATCCCACTGGGAATGACATCCTGCCCCCGGGAACAACCTCCCGTGCCCCAGAAATAGCTTCATGTCCCACTGGGAATGGCATCCTGCCCCCGGGAACAAACTCGACCCCGGCAACAAACTCCTGCCCCCGGGAATGGGCTCCACCCCCTGGGAACAGGCTCCTGCCCCCCGGGAATGGATTCATGTCCCGCTGGGAATGACACTGTGCCCCTGGGAATGTCTCCTGCCCCCAGGAACGGGCTCCTGAACACCAGGAACGGGCACCAGCCCGCTGGGAATGGGCTCCTGCCCCCGGGAACAACCTTCTGCCCCCCGGGAATGTCATCACATCCTGCTGGGAATGACATCCTGCCCCCAGGAACAGACTCCTGCTACCGAGCATGGACTCCTGGCCGCTGGGAATGGTGTCATGTCCCTGGGAATGAGCTCCTTCCCCTGGGAACGGGATCGTGCTCCTGGAAAAAGGCCCCTGAACCCAGGAATGGGCTCCTGCCCCCTGGGAATGGCATAATGCCCCTGGGAATGTGTTCCTGCCGGCAGGAATGGGCTCCCCAGGGACCACCTGCTGTCCCCCGGGAATGGTATCCTGTCCCTGGGAACAACCTCCTGCCTCCGGGAATAGGCTCCAGCCCCCCGGGAATGGCTCCTGCCCCCGTCCCAAGTGTCCTTGTCCTGGATGTCCCCTCCCGGGAGCAGGAGGGGGGG